ATTACAAGAATACCACAACATTAAACGCTGTATTTGACATGCCGCATAGCTCCAGATATTTCTTCTTCAACTGGCTATAAAGTAGGAAGTCTAGCGTAACTAGATTATGATATCTAATTTGTCATTATTATTACAACTATTTAGTGTGAGACATGTCACTGTGGCTGTATAGATTTTTATAAAGTTTACAAAACGGGGAGTTCTGTGCTTTTGGGCAACAGTTTGTGATATTTGTTTCTCAAACCATTATGGAATGGATCTGTAACGCTTTTATCATGTTAAATTTTTTTCGCTTATCTAAGGTTTTATGAAGAAGTCCTTTCAATAAGGCTAACTTTAGCGTTCTAACGCGACCAGTAGGTGGCAGTCGTGTTATGCAAAATACCACGATCGTACAATGAGAATGTTCCATTTGTTATACGATTTATACTCGCTTTCAAATTTCGAGTTTACACATTTCCACTCATATTAAAGCTTATCTACAAGAACAAAAAACCCATTAAGATTTCAGATCTTTACCTACAGGACACCAGTTTTCTTTTATTCAAGATGAAGATCTGGATTTCTGTAGTTAGCGAGCTGAATTTTTTTCCACTTTTTTGCTTCGTTGCCAATATTTCAAGTAATAGGAACTGAACAAACGGACTTTCATCAAGCAGAACACGGTAGTGTCCCTCGTGCGTACGCAGCTGTTGCACATGAGATTCTCTAAGAACCCTAATTTGAAAAAACTTTAAAGCTGAGGAATCTTCTATGAAAACTGTATACACTATCAAACAGATAAAGTAAGATCTATTTTGTAAATCTTTGAATTTATTAACTCTTCAGAGCTACAGTAAATGGGGACTTGTCGTCAGTTGTTAGAAAACCAGCATCGATCGTCCACTATTTCCACTGCGTTGGACTAACGTCCCACTTCCGTATTGACGTAATTATATTCAAGTACATGCGTAGAATTATTTTCGCTTATAGACAATGCACTCCATTTGCTAGCAAAGAAGTACGCCGTAAGCGGTTCGTAGTCGTCTCGAAGATATTTTGTGACCATTGAAAGTTTGCGTAAGTTAAGCATAACGGATAGAGTTTGCTAAAAATTCAGCACAACGCTCTCAATCACGGGAGTGGACGGAATTTGCGGTGTCGATCGCCTTGCCTGACGCTGGCCGACTTTCCTTTATCCAAACTAGTTTTGGAACGAAACAGTCGAGTCTGGCGAACAAGCCGGATCACTGAAGCAACAGAACACACCGTTCTTCTTAATCAGGTTCACGAACATCCGCCTCGTTTACTATTTTATGGTCATTCTATAATGCATGTGTATGGATGCATTTGCTTATTTTCTTTTATACATCAACTGGTTTATGATATCGCCAAGGTATTTTTATTTGCATCGTTCAGCTTTAACGCAAACTTTTACCTGCATTTAGAAAACGATAAATTCCAACGCATTTCGTCTCAAAAGATGATCGGGCATCAAATCAGATCCGGTCGTCCAGATTTAGTGTAGAATTTCGCGAAGATTAAGATCTCCCGTCTCAGTTTGCTCTGACATTCAATGACCGTTTCATCAAATTTGGCCCTTTCTGAGTACTGTTTTATTTTTCTCAAATTTGTTATGTCTAATTCGATTAGTGCATGTTATATCTATGACAACTGCGTTTCATTAGAAAATCGACACTGCTTAGGCAGAATGACGAAGGTCGGCATCAGCACACAATTCTCCCAATCAATTTTTTTTTCTTGAAGAAGTTATTTCTTGACGAAGTGACGAAGCTTTAATCTCTTCTCATGAATAACCCTTATTTTCATATGTGTGCCAAATTTTCCTATTCGCCTTCTGGATTTTTGCATAGCTTCTTCTTGCACTTTTTGTGATGCTTTGTGGAACAATTTCGCTTGGAATAATTTTCGGTCGAACACTTTTGCTTTCTTATGAGCTTCTTTTAAAGCGGATACGCGAATAGGGAGCCCAATAAACTAAATATGTTTAGGAAAAAATTGTGAAACAGTTGCTTGATGACTGTTATACCGCTTCCGAGTGCAAGACTAAGCCGAAGAATGTTAAAATCTCAAATGTTTGTCTATACCTAAAAGGTGTGAGAACAATAGTGAATGGAATCACTTCAGGCCTTTAGAAGATTGTTGCTTAGAAGCCAACCTGCTTCTTTTGCGCAACTATAAGCGATATATATATATATATACACATATACATCAATCTGCGAAGCTAATGGATTCCTGGAGTCAGCCATCTATTGAATGCTTTCAAAACGCATGGAAAAACGCTTGAAAAAATTTTGTGTAGACTCATAGGGCAACTCTCTGATAGATTTCTGGGCGCACAGAACTATCTGGTAGTTTTACATAAAACGGAAGAACTCTTTGATAGCTTCGCATATGGATGCACATATGAAGCTTACGAATCGAGGCTTGTCAAATCGATATATCACAAAATGCTTACTTACTTGATAGTTGAACGGTTCGTGCTCACTAGTTGTGCGGGATCCAGCATAATTTCCGCCTTTTCGGAGCTTTACTGGTCTGGCCACTGTGTTCCCCTGGAGTCCCGAGGTGAAGTTGGACAAAGTCTGCCCCATGTCGTCACCACCACAGAACAGTTGCCGCACTTGTGGTTTAGGGAAAAATTTGCACCGTGCGAATAGTTTCATTTCAAGACGGTGACGGATCCTGGCATTGGTTTACCCTTAGCTAGGCTTCCAGATGGAAACGCCGGAGTCCTTCTCAGATTGGGGAGACCCTGCTGTGGGGACGATTCCCTCCGCTGTACATCGCAGTCCGAGACCCGGGAACACCTCCTAGCCACGACGAGGGGGTAAACCATTGGAAAGAAACGCAAAACAAGCACCATAAAAAAGATTAGAACCTATGCGAAGAATGTCTAAGAGGAACATCTACGAGATAGAAATCTCCGTGTGCCTCAGCGTTAAGTGGTGCCGTCTCATCTTCGCATCGATATATTCATCATAACATTCCGCATAAGAATGAAATCAGACACATTTCTTTCTGTGGTAAAATGTGAAATACAGCCATATGAAGGCTGAGGCTGTACAATTTTAAATTGTGTAAGCAAGGTTACAGAGATGCTTGCATAATTTAATCCGTTCTAGAGTATTCTTTTTGCATCATGTTTCATGGAAACAAAACTGTGACTCAGTTACTAATTGACCTGCCCAATTAAGGATGTGAAGACACGATAAAAGGTAAAGGGTAAAGCTTTCGACGTTGATCAGTCTTTGACGGATACGCCACTCATTCTCCTTTATTAAGCATCGACAGAGGTGACTGAATGCATATTTGACGTTCACAATGACTCGCGATGCCTATCAATGTATCGAGGCAGTGCTGGTATCTTCCTAGGCAAGTCTAGTACCAATTTGCCGACCCTGGAGGGCTAGAAGGCTTGGTGGGTCACGGGCACGGAGATCAATTCCATGTGTGTGTTTCAGGGCGCCTCCGACCACTGCGCTACACATGCCCTTCCGATGGTGTAGAATAATCAAGTCAGAGAGTTCGGCATTTATGCATAAGACGTAAAATATTTTCGGTTGTATTTCGCACTTTTTTTGAAGTTGCTAAAGGACAAAACTTCTGCTATTGGAAAGCTGTAGGGAACACTATACGACAACATCACTCGCATGATTGCTTTTGTTCAATTAATATCGAAGCTTCATTAGTGATAAGGTAGATTCGTTATGCTTTGGTACATCTTTTAATACCCTTTTTCAATAAATAACGTTTTTTTGTGCTTACACCTTTTTATTAGCTGTTTACTAACGAAAAAGGGAATGGAATTAGGATAGATTTGATGTCATTAAGAGAATACACAAGATTATTTTGATGAGTGTCATTAAACAGCGTTCACATTTAGCACTGGCGTTCCATAGAACTCTTGAGATCGAGCACTCCTTTGAATTCCTCAATATATTAACAACCAAAAATTTACGGAGATGCCTTTTGTTAGGCATTACAGTTTCCTTTCAAACAATCTTCAGAATAAAATAGGCACTGCTAAGCTGTAGAGCTCTTACAAATGCTTAAAGTTCATAGTATGGTCCAGAGTTGACAAACTTTGAAGAATTTCCATATATTCTTCTTAATTCATAGTATCGCTTAAATACATATTTAATTTATGTGATATGTTGCGTGAGAATAGAGGCTTATCAAGCCCGTGATGCTATCCTCGAAGGCTTGGCGCCAAGATTGTGGTGACCCGTGAAATCGAAATTAAAGCTACATTGAAAAGCAGGATAACTGTAACTTTTGCTTTATAGTTGTTTCTTTTAATATGAGAGGCTCATCGGCTAGTAATACGAGAATTAAGCTGTGTACGAAAGTTCAACTTCAATTTGCTGCCTATTTCTTCTCCTTCCATGAAAGGGCATTGTGTGAAATACGACCACGAGATTCTGAGATGTGAGCAAAACTCCAAACCTCATGCGGGCTTCGAACCTAAGTCTTACGTGTTATCCACTGTATCAACAGATTGCTTTATCTTTCTTCCAATCAGTCTTCTAATAGAACTTGCTATCAGCAACTACACGTTTACGGCAATGATCAGAAAATATGGCCGAGAAAAAGGCAAAAGCATGGCCTAGTTTTGTGTAGTGAATTGCATGGGAGCCCACGAAAATGATAATCTTGTGGTCGAAGATCACCTACGGCTCCGATTTTTGCTCATGTCTCAGTATCCTTGTTGCTGTGTACTAAAGTGTTCGTATGTACGTTCTGGCGAACCACGTAGAATACATCATTAGCGTTCCAAATGTCATTACTTCTCTCACATCAGTAAACGTGATGATTGCAAAGGGATGAATGGATTTGAGAAGATTAGATAAACTGCTATCGAACTTAGTCATCGCTCGCTTCGTCGTATTTTTTTATATAAGCGTATTTTTTCAAGATTATAAATGGAACTTTAGAAATCGCGTATATTACCTGCGTCTATATAAGTTGTTCATATAAACAAATAACATAACTATAGGATGTGGTATTTCCTCTTTCTGCTCCCGATCTATGTTTTATGTAGCCTGAGGTGCCACTCATGTCTTACGCATTGTAAAACCACGGTTGGAACTAAGGTAACATTTCCTTTTTACTCTTCGTAATTAATGGTTCGCACGATTCTATTTCGAGGCAAAGTACAGTAGCAAAAATAAACAATAAAAAGCAAAAAATTGTGAATGTTCTACTTTGCAAATTCTTTTCATTTTCTGCTTGATTTGACGCGTTTCGGTTTTTACTGTGATTGAAAGCACTCAGCCTTTTTTCAATATGGTAGCATCTTTCCCCGTTAGAAAAGTGCTAAGAGCCCTATCTAGATTTTCGTTATTAAAAGGATTGTCTAAGGTTGTAGATTTTGAGAAACCCATCTTTATAGCTGAAGTTTCATCTACTTGTCCCGCTTTGTTTTCCAGAAGACGAGAGAAATTATTCATATTTGATCTTTACTTGGCAGTTGATGAAATTATCCTTAGCAAAAATTTTGCGTAGATTTTGTACAATATCGATGCTACTGAAAGAATATTTTATCTGGTCATCGGCTCTAAGAAAGACGACAACATCGAAAAGCTAGCCGAATGAAAGTTACATAACGATCTCGTGTAGGGTGAGCAATCCAAAGAAATCTGTTGGTTATTCACGCCGATGTTGATTGAAAGGCGGTTTAGTAATGAATATTTCATGTTGGCTCTGTGAAAGAAAAAAACGAAGGAACGAGAACATATAAACTCTCACATGCTTGATGAAGTTTTAGGACTGATGTGTTGTCATAATTTGTTTGTCATTTACTCTTTAGTGTTTATTGCCTAAAAAGTAAAATTTCCCAAGTTTTTGAGCTTTAATTTAAGCGTTTAAAATTTTTCCAATATGAATGTTGATGGAAACATGTAGATTGATGCAGTTGGATGCGATTGTATGTCGAAAGCCGAAGACATGTGCGTGGGCAATGCCTGTTTCGCAAAGATAGAAATATTTTCGGAAGAAAAGACCGCTATAATCCAGGTAAAATAAAGTTTTCTTTTTCATGTTGACATAACCACATGATGAAACGCTGTGCTATGTTTACAATTCTATGAGTGCCGTATTTATTCCAGAAAGGTTGTATCACGGACATTCCTGGTGGTCAGAAAGGTTGTCAATACGCCAGTAACTTCGAATCTGTTCATTGCTTCTGTGAAGAGAATGAATGTAACATTAGAAAGAAGGCAGGTCATTTTATTGAAGAAGTTAAGCTTTTCATTTTCACTTTGCTTCACTGGATTTGAATTATTTCCATTTGTGGTGAAACGCTAAGCAGATAACGTGCCCACAATTCTTCAAAGATGCTGAGGTGTTTACTCTCACATGAATGATGCTTGTTGCTTTTGTTTCGATCAAAAATGTGCTGCTTACATGATACTAATTCATCTAAACCAATTCATTTCCTTGTCTCTAATCAAAATTTTTGGCTTTCTTGTTACTAACAGCTCCAAGCTTTGATCTATCAGTAACGATGTGCATATGTGTTTAAGCCTCAGGTTAAGTGGGAACAATTCTGCTGTGTCTATCGAATCATTCTAATCATCATTAGGAAGTAGGAATCATTCTTCGCCATAATTTCAACGAGTTGTCCATGAAGTTAAAAGAAGCCAAAAGAGAATGGGTATACCAAAGCAAGATGGTTAGTCCTTATGAAACAAATTGGTTTGTTGCCTTGCAATCGTGTTTTCGTGAGCGGATTCCTTATTAGGCCATTGATAGGTTTAATATCCGTATACTACGTACATCGACATGCTAAGCAAAGACCGGCAGTGGTTTTCCTTAGAATCCTAAAAAAAACAGACAAAGACGTTACTAGGTCACCGCCATAAGATTTTCTTCTAACTGGGCTTGGAGGGATTTTTGCATCAAATAAATCGAAAAATTGGAGATGGACAGCGGAGAGTCCTTCGAAGAGCCAGATTATACATAGGTAGAAATGGTAGTGGAGTGTTTTTATGGTGGTTCGTTCAATTCAGGAAGGTGTACAGTCTGGATAGTCTGCAGCACACTTTTAAACCCTTTGCAATGTCTTTTCCTCCTTTTTACAAGTACTGGTATTTTGAGAGGCACGTGTAAAACAGTGATCGGGACGCCCTGCAACACACATGTGGGATCGGTCCCCACACCCCTAGCACACCATGTCTTCCATCCCTCCAGGGTCAGCAAAATGATAGCAGATTTGTCTGGGAGGACAGCTGCACTGACTCGATACATCGTTACTGCGAGTTATTGTAAAGGCCAGATATGCATTGAACCACCTCCAAACGATGCTTAATGAAGTCGAATGAATGTTGCATCCCTCAAAGGATTGACCAAAGCTGGGAGCTTTTATCCTTTATTGGTTGTTTGATGATTTATAAGTGCGTGATGCATTCATATACCACTTTTCTAAAAATAATATTGCCTAGACATGAAGGAATTTGTGTGTGATTTAACGTATTATTTACTGCCTATTTATTTTAACGGCAGGGTATACATTGTGAAATATAACTTCAATGATGCTGAGATATTTGCAAAACTCCGGACCGCAGGTGTATGCAGTGGGGAACGAACGCGCTATTGCCCTTACCGGGGAGTAGCGCACTTCACCACCACACCATCCGGGTCCTTCGTTTTGCCTGTTTCACCCTGCCATTAAAAAAAAAGGCAGTAAATAAAAGGCTTAAGATTGTGATTATAACTAAGCCTCAGCTTAACTGGGTTCAATGCCGAATTAGGCTCCTCAGATCAATCCCGTTGACGGGTAATTGCTGATGGCAAAGGATCAATAAAACTAGCTGAGAGACAGGCAAAACGAAGAACCCGGATGGTGTGGTGGTGAAGTGCGCTACTCCCCGGTAAGGGCAATAGCGCGTTCGTTCCCCACTGCATACACCTGCGGTCCGGAGTTTTGCAAATATCTGAGCATCATTGAAGTTATATTTCACATTGTGTGTGATAATCACCAAGTTTTCCATAAATAGCGAAAAAAACCTATTGGTTAGGATTTAGAAAGAATGGTTCGCAGTGGTTCAGCTTAAGACAATTTTCCGAAAAAGGGCGAACGGCTAGCATATTTTAACCAGCAACTGTGATGATGGACTTCGCTCATTTTTGACATGTTGGCTAGCTTCCGTCGTTAAAAGTTTTTGACTTATACTAAATTTAGACAGCATCTCTGCTTTAATAAAATCGTAGTAAAAATGTAGAGCATTCGACTTTTGTCAGTAACTCAAGAATGTGCTAGACGCTATACTCCATACGGCGTTGTAGATGTCATTGAATGCATAGTTGACGCAAATAATATTCTTGACGGCCTTGTGAGTTCATCGGATGAGCGTTTTTAACTTCCTAGCCAAGCCTGCCAATCAATTTCCTATCCCGAAGGGATTAGGAGCTTGCCGACGCTCGGGATCGAAAAACGATCATGCTCATTACGGGATCTGTCAATCCACTGCACTACACTGTCCTTAATAATGACATAATAACCGATATTTCTCTCTAGAATCTTGGAAGCCTTATCCCAACGCATTCTTTACTTCTATGAACACGCACCAGTCTTACATTTTTATTGTAAGAAAAACCTGCCAAATATTTTTTTCAAACTGCTGTGTGTCTTCCGAGACCATGATGGTACATTTTGGCATTGTTGTTCCCTAAATTTTTCGCTGCGAATTTCGATTTAGATCGGAATTAACCTGCTGAAGGAATAAAATCTTGTGAAAATGAATGCACTGTGGATTGCAGTCTTGCATCAAAGAGCCCTTTCGTGTCAGTCCTGTGTTGTGGCAAGTCATCAGAAGGTGTGAAAGTATACAAATAAAACTATAAAAAAAGCTGCACTTTGGCCCTGAGTTGTTCATGTTGCCACCAGTATCTTAATTAATGTTTCTGTGATTTACTGCGGGCAGCTCATTTGTGAAACACTTTTATAGCCCGAGCATTCATAAATGAAGCTTGAAACCATTACAGTAAAGAATATGATATTGCTTTTTGGTGTGCTGAGAACGTTAGATGACGCTCCAGTGTAGGAGGGTGGTAGCGTAGTGTTAGGTTGTGTTACTGTTCACCACGTGCACGCTGTTGGTTTGAACACACATTGGATTCATCAAACCTCCGATCCTTTCGATATCGGTAAACTGGTACGTGACCTGCCAAGAAATAGCACATTCCCTGAAATCCAACGAGGAACGCTTCATTCTGCCTATCCCAAGTTAACACAAGAATCGACTCGATCGGCATTAAACTACACTTATAACGAAGAAGAGAATCCTCGTGCAACAACCGAACCGACGCGCAAAACCCCGTTTATGATCGATGAGTAGAAGCGACTCGAATGCAAGAAGTACTGAGTTCCGCATAGTAGATGTGTAAATGGGCCATGTGAAATAAAATAGCAAAAAATTCGAATATACGGTATTTGACACATCAATAAGTGATTTCGATTCAATCACTCTGACCATGTTCTGGCATGTGAACACAAAGAAGTGCGCATTTTCGTTGAATTATTCGAATGTCCTAAAAAAATCGCAAAAAATTTAAGGGAACCTGTTATCGTACTTTTTCCTTTCTCTTTTTTTTCGAGGTAAGTATTTAATGTTGTGATGTTTTTTGCATGCATGATCATCTCTTCTATCAAGGATTCAGATACATTTGTGCATGCACTGTGGGTACAGATTGTCACTTCAGTCCTTCGCGATTTAGGCGGCCTAGAATGGCCCTAAGATATTAGCCGTCTGTCCGCACTCGTCCAAGTCAACGCTGCCGAATCGAGGGCTCTTTTGGAAACAAAGGAATGAGGCCCTTTTATTTTACTGTGATTACCTTTTGATACCCACGTACATCATACTGATGTCTGAACGTGGACGCAGGGCATGCTCACGGGTAGCTTACCAGTCTCTTCCAGGCCAAACACGGAGCGCACTCGTTGGACTCGTGTCCTAAACAACTCCCATATATTTCCTTGTATTTTAATTGCAGGGTCTGGGGCGAATTGACTCGTTGAATACAAACCGCATAAACTTGAACGCACCCACATACGCGTGCATGAATACGTCTTCTTAAACACAGAACGTACCAGCCAAACCAACGCAGAAGCGGGACTCTTTTCCCTGGATCTACCTGTGGCTTAAAGAAGTAAAGGTGACTTTTGGTTTGCGATTAACCTCTATCCTCCACCTGGAGACTTGTAATCATGCTTCGCGACTAACCTGTATGAGATCTCTCTATGAGTGAGATTCGTGGAAGTAATTTATTAATGAGAAGATATCTTATTCATGTTTCATATGAAGCTTTTAGTTTTCATATACTACTTCATTGTAAAAATATGTATTGTATATATATTTTTTATATAGACAGTTTTTCTCATGCAAATAAGTTCATAATAAAGTAGTGAATGTCTAATCGAGATCTACTCCTAAGTAGTTGGCTGTTCTCTGCTTGATTATGGCAACTCCTCAGAAGATTATTGCTTGTCATTTGAAAGTACTGTCATCTGAGAGTATTTGGTGTGCCATGTATAACAACAGCAAAATATGAACTATTGCTGAGCTTTATGTTAACAAAGCTGTTAAGCTTTCCATTATTTCATCTATGATGCAATTTCTCTAGGATTCGTAAATTTTACTCAATGGAGAAGCTATGAGAACATGATAATGAGCAAAATTTATATGCCTACTTCACTAGGAGGAAGAAAAACGTATTGAACTGGAGTTGGAAAAGTGTGCATATCAAATACAACGCCTTTAAGAAAAGAATCATATGTGAATAGTATTTGAGAAAACCCAGTAAATTTCCTTTCAAATTCGCGGGACGTTCGACTTGCCTCCTAGGCTTATAGAGGGTCACGACTGAGCTCCCAAGTAAATCACCAACATAGGCCTAGCGTGTTTAAACGAAATCTCTCCTATAAGTTTCTTAAGCTCGTAGCTCATCAATTACTCTAGTTACTAATGGCTTATCAGCAGCTAGCAAGGAATGAAGATGGCTACGTCTGCCTCCGTGATTACAGAGAATGTCAGCAGACCTTTCAGATTAGCGAAGGGCGCGACATTCGTTGTGCCGTCAGTGAAAATATGCAGCTCAATAACATTTCTATGTTATAACATACGGCCTAATAGTTATGTAGCTACTAATAGCTAGTACTTATGAAATGTATTATCTGCTTTCCTATAAGTGAGGACCGCTATAGCAAAATAGTTTTGCGACAGAAGAAATTCTCAATCTTAGTCTTACATATAACCAATGTTAGGATCATAATGGGCTACGCCCTGAAACTCTTCCGTCCAGCTCACCAATGTACAACAAGCAGCTCATTCAAAGCTAGTCGATTTGAGTTTTTAGTCCACATTAGTGCAACCATCCTTGTGATTTGTGTGTTCGTAGGTGTATCGAGTCAAATCTTCCTGACTGGCACACCGCTTGAACGAGGTAGCCTAACCCGGCGGTGCCATTTTATAGAGGACGATTAGCACTGATTTCCAACTGATAATGATTTTATGTCTACAATCGATCGCACAACAGTTGATACTAGAATAGTTAGAATAGAATAGAAAAGCCTCAGAATAGGAATTTTGAGAAAAAATTTCGAAAATATTACAATAATAAATACTATAATACTCGGTTTCTTTCTTCAAGCAACCTCATGTAACCTGAACAATCTAAAGAAATATATTGATTAGTCGTGTCAAGATTAAGTGGAAATCGGTTTAGCCATGGTTCGAACACCAATCATGCTCGGCAGATTGGATTGTATACTGTAACTTCATTAATCTTGTTAAGTCTTTAAATTGGAGAGCTGCTAATGGAAAATCGGCAAAATATTTCCAGCCACTATTGTGTACTCGCCAGGGAGCAATTCTACTGAATAACAGCATATATAGAAAAAGGTGCATATGTAGAATAGAATATATGGCGTTGAAGAAAATGGGATATGAAGGTCTGCCTCCTTCAATAAGCTTCCTACTCTTGTATTTCTCAACAACGGACTATCTCGTCTTCAGCCGTGTCGATAACCTTACGTCGAAAATATCTGTATTAACCACGCTGGTAGTGAAAATACCTTCACAATACTTGTGAGCTTCCAAAAAATCATGAAGCTTTCGTCTTGGAGTAGGCAAATTTGCTAATGGAAATCCCTAAGATTGGAATGCTCCTTGCCTCATTCATTAAATTTTGATGTGACCTATATTTAACGCAGGAGGCACAACAAGCGGCATGACTCCCCAATACGATTTGATAGAATAAGTCTTATTGAAAAAATTGTACTAAATCGTATAATGTGCCAAAATGCCAAACATGTTTTCAACTTGTACAAATAGGATGTCTTTACAGATGAACGACTTTATGACGAATCGGCTGCCGACGATGGAGTGTTGTGCATGCTCAGAGCGGCATGGTGAACACTGTTCGAATGACCGGTGCAGTCGAAAATGTCGAGGAAACTATTGCGCCGTTGATTTTGACGGCATCGAACAGGTGTGGAGCAAAAACGCCAAACAATCAGTTTTTTTTATTGTCTATAGGGAAGGAAACATGTCAGCAGTGCGATTCAGACGGGTTTTTTCGTTTTTGAAAATTTTGTAAAAGACTTTTCCTTTTAATAAATAACCTGGAGCTGGGAGCGCAGTGGTAGTGATTACGCACAATAGGCGGGCGACCCATTCTATTCATAGGCTCGTTCGACCTCGCTCCGGGCTTGCTTACGCTCTTATCTCTCTGAGGTTAGGATAACGGTACCAGACGTCTGGTACAAGCCCATAGCCACTAATGCACGTGGGAAGTGGGAATACTCTACCACAGCTATATGATAAAGACTACAAAATCCTTAAGTAGCAGATATTAAGCCCTCCCCACGTCAAAAAAGACAAGTTCGGAGCACCTCGTGGATGACGGATGCGAGGATACGAATCGAGTGGAAAAAGTGTTAAGATCCAATGTAATGTCAGGTTATGCAGTGCATTACTTAAGACTTGAAAAGTAGTTTTTTTTGCCATTTTTTTTTGGCTCGCTAAAAATTTTTGCCATTAAAGTGCACTTAAATTTCTAGGGATGTGGTCTTGGATTTCCACGTTTGCAGTCATTTCTGAGAATGGACAACTATTTAGACCACCAAGGTTCATTGATATGTGCGAGGTTGGTACATAAATAGAAATGCTTTTCGTACCAAAATTCCTCGTACTTGCTTCAAATTTTATTTGTTCGTTTCAGGGCTGAAATCATAAAATTTTTATTGAAGGTATGAAGCAACGCCGGCAACTGTGATAAGTGGTTGCACCTGCACTCATCCATCAGGCTCTTGCAATGAGTTGAATAAGACCAGAAATTTTCAGGTAATTGTAGATTTAGCTAGCCAAATCTGTGCACAAAAATCAGGTTTTACAAATGTTATTCACATTTGCGTCGCATTTCTTTCTAATGAAAGAGGAGTTGCATTTGAAAGGTACAATTATCTTGTATGCTTCGATACATGAGCTTCTTCTTTGTTGTGCAGTAGTCATCACTTATTGTGATGACAAACGGATAAAAGACACCATCGTAAAGGTCATCGAATGCATATACGGTATAAGTAGTGACTCACGGATGAGGTACGTAGCCATTCCGTCACCAATTTGCCAAGCCTCGAGAAATGGAGGAATTGTGAGAACAGGGCGTGGGATGAAAGCAGTGACTGATTCAATTTGTATTACAGACAGTTCAACATTGCGCTACACGCCCTCTATTGTGGTGGTAGCACACAAAAATGGTACGCCTTGTTGGAATAGTAGTTTTTATATTGAAGATAATTCGGTCAAGATCTTTCCATTTACTAGGTTTTGTGGGTGGTCTTTGAGAGATTCTTGCAGTTCACTGGCTTTTTCTAACGTCACTGAAAATTGGTGTAGTGCATGCGAACAGTATTTACATGCTTGAAGTCTGGATGGCAAATCTTCACGAGTAAAGCACGATCCACTCAATATTCCATTCGACTCTTTTTCGCGAAACTGTTGCCTATGGTGATGATCCGCTTCGAAAATAGCGACATCCACAGAGCACATTTGGTAATGTAACAATCATTGCCATCTGCGATGCAGATGGTTGACGTTAGCCACGAACACGTCCACCTATCGTTTCGGTGGTCGTCCAGCAGGATTCTTGCTACCCTCTTAAGGTTCGTTCCACTCCACAGTTTGTCCCCGTCCATTTGTAATCTGTTGTTCTTATTACATGACCGGTTAATCTGTGTTTCTCCATCCGAGCATTAGAACGCAACGACTGTGGAGAAAATAATTTTCCACAGAGAGAAAGAATTGTAGAACAGGGATCAAATTGTGTTCATATATTTTTGATCACACCTGGGCGGCTCTATAATTCCTTTCTACTGATGTTACCAAAGCAGAAAACTTGTTTGAACTTTTGGTTATTTGGAACGCTTCCAGTGTTTGCCCTAAATTCATAAATGCTTCGAATTTCCGGTATTTCTTTTTACATAACCTCTCTTATACCTACTGCGCTGACCCCAAAATTTGCACTCGAACCACTTTCTCACATTCACTACCCACGAAGGAATTCGAACTTCTATTTCGCATTGCTTCGACTGCTACTCGACAGTCCTCTTCTTCTTTACAAATAGTATTAAGTGCTGATCGACTCGATTCATTCTGTCTGGAGTTCTGGAGTAGCTGGGATAGAGCGTTACCACGAAGATTATTGGGAGTGTGTTTGTCCCAGAAAAGTGTGGTACTAATTTCGCGAAGCTGAGTGGAAGACAGGCTAAGGCTTAAGAAAATTTCGCTTTATAGGTAAAAATTTTTGCGCACTTTATTAATTCCCTTCCCAGTCTCTGCAGCTCTAAGCTTAACTGCTGCTCTTCTTTCTTTGACGTCTTCTTTCGCATTCTCTCCGAAATGTTTTGCAAGTTCGGACGTCAGTTGACGGTTGCCTGTGGCTTGTGCGATTACATGTTGGTACATTGGCTTTAGTGTTTTTGCAGACAGATGTCGCTTGGTGACATTGGAACTCTCAGTTTTCATAGAGCTAACGTGATGATGAATGAGACGTTCGTAGTTTACGTCGATATTGTCAATAATGGCATCTTTCCAAGATCCCACTAACGACCTAAGTGCATCCCAGTTTACGGAGGTTTCAAGAGAGCGTTTTTTGAATTTCGCGGCTCTGTGTCCTTTCCTCGAGAAATGGTAGCTTGCGAAAAGATCCATGATTAAAGCGGGTACATTTTCATATTTCGTGATTTCAGATTAAAGGAGTTATCGAAAGGAAATTGAATGAGCAGAATTACTGCTACAGTCTAAGTCATAGGTCAAATAAACCATTTGGACAGGAGGTCTTCAGGAGGTATGGTTTGGTGTGGATAATTTTGTCGCACGTTTCAAAGAACGAAGTGGAGCATTTTCGATCTTTTTCAACTATACAGTTTTTTCAAAGGTCAACAACATGTGAGGGACAATATTGCTTCATTTCCTTAACTACGTCAGAGATCGTTCTGGAAAGTGCTGAATTCAAACGCGACTATTCAGAGCACGATGAGTTCATCGGCACTACAAGGCCTCGGTTTGAACTTTTAGCGGGTTGTATAAAAGTCGATGATGATGAGGTCAGTATTATGTTCTCAAAAGAAAATAAAGTGCAGTTCATAAGTTAGTTTATCACAATGAGTTTTTTAGTTCTGAGTTTTCTCTTAGAACAACGTTTTAGTTTTCAGAAGATTAAAGTGGGATGTACAGCCGAATATTTAAAGAATGCTAATGATTCGATTAGCAAGCACTGTATATGTGATAGTCATCTCTGTAATTTTCATCATCTTATCAGTGGTGTGAACGATACAAGAGCAAGGGCAACCGCTAAACAACAAGTGAGTTCAACGAGTTGGCAGATACTCGCTCAAATATCTATTAGAATTTATTTATGTGATCTTATCAACTGATCTTCTTAAGCTGACGTGAGGTTGGTACAGATCTTCGTTGTCGTTGCCGTTGTTTTTGATGTTATTGATCGATGGCTGACGTTTCGGCGACTTCGCCTTCCTCAGAGCCGTGATGTTACGTGCGGGACTCTGAGGAAGGAACGTCAGCCATCGATCAATAACATCAAAAACAACGACAACGACAACGAAGATCTGTACCAACCTCGCGTCAGCTTAAGGAGAACAGTTTATAAGATCACATAAACAAATATATCAACTATCTATGCCGAGGTTTATAGAAAGTCGGTCTTTCGGGTTGTCTATTAGAATGTTATCATTTATCCTCTGCAATAATGAATAAGGAATAGTGAGAGCAAATAATTTAATATTGTTGTCGAATAAATATTCTTTACCTAAACGCATAACAAAGTCGATAGATAAAAAACCTAAAGTGCATTTGAACGAGTCAGAAATTGCGAAATCGAAAACCTGCTAGGTTTACTAGTTACTAGGTCCTTCAGGAGTTTTTTAAGTATTTGGTAGAGGATTTACTTCATATTTTAACTTCTAATTGAAATATACGGCTTTTTTTGTAATATATTATGTCATCTATATCATCTCCTCTCAGGTTAAATAGCGATGTCTCGAATGGGACACCAGCGAAGTCCTCCATTCGTCCCTTCCTCTCAGTTCTGCTTACACTGGCTACTCTTTGAGTGTCATAAATATTTTGGTGCCACGATTATCGTGAACAGTTCTGAAAATCGGGTGCTGGCACAATTCCTGGGTGCTTGAAAACTCATAAAAGCCGGTCGCTAACGGTTTGTCTCCGCCACCTCTCATTCAGGCTCATCACGTGTCCGACCTAACCTGATTCCCGAGAGTTTATCGTAAATCGCTGCTTTTCTGAGCACTAATCATCGACGTAGGTCAAAATTTCGAATTCCTTCGCGAGCTTACCTTTTACGTGGCATTCCCAGGATCTCTGTTTCCACTGCGTGTCAACAATAACACTGAGTCCTCCTTCATTCAGCCACCAAGGTAATCAAATTTATGAAGCTTAGGTAAACGCAAGCAGAGTCGCAGGGTTGAAAAGCTGGATAAAGTATCGATTGTTGCTTGTTCACTTCAGTATATCCTCGGTCTTTTTAAGTAAGGTCGCAGGCCATTCTCTTCCCTTAGCTTGGCTCAGAAGGCAACTCCATTAACTCCATAACGGGGAGGACTTTGAAGTACGTGTCACGATCCTCGCACCGAAATCAAGAACACAAGTGCTCAAAACTCTCGAGGCGCTCTGGATTAATTCCAGAAATCCGAAAGTGAACCACAGAGAAGAATGCCTCATTATCAAGCGTGATATTGGACAGTATAGACCTGTTATTTTGATGGGAGGAGCATATTACGCTTCCATGTGAATTCTGTGCTGTCGGTCTTCACATGACATACTCAGTGAAAGGCTCATAGAAAGCGGTGAGTGTGCAGAGCTATGTTAAATGTGATTGAAATCTTGGTTCATCGTTTTCTCTGTTTGGTTATGGAGGTGTTTGGTCGAATAGAATGCTGTCAACTTAGCCTTTCCAGGCTCTGAGGAAGGCGAAATCCGTCGAAACGTCAGCTTGTACGTAAATAAAGAAATAAAATAACACCTCGTGTTTGCTGAACAGAAGTATAAAGAATAACTCCATTATGTTCACAGCAGCCAGTTATAGATAACATCAACATTCGGAGAAATTCATTCCGTTGATCATGAATGAGGTTTTAAAAGCGAATCATTTCTTCATGGACATCCTTTTGCTCAGATCCAATCAAAAACTATTCTTCACACAAGCTTTGGCCAACCCAACTAACACTCGTTTCGTCTGGCTAGTGCTTAGCTTTACAAGAACGATGTCAGCGCAAAACAAAAATACTGTACTCGTAGACCGTCATTTGTGATGGTCGACATTTTATCATATAGTGCTTGTTTCTCTCGAAAAAAGATTCTAAAAAGACATTACAGTTAAATACATCTTTGCTGTTTTACTTAAAGGTTAGGCTTTGTTATAATATGTTCACATAGTTCCCAGGATCGACTTTCTCTTAACCTCGGCATTGGAATATGAATGTGTCGTTTTCTTGTTCAGCAGTCGCGAGGTTTTTAAACAGCACACATTTACTTCCATAGAAAAACACAATGCAATACAACGCTAGCTGACGTTTCGGCAGTATCGCCTTCTTCAGAGCCGCTTTTTCGTGACTTCCTCGTTGGAAGTCACGAAAAAAGCGGTGAGTTTTTTGAGAAGCTCTTGATCATGTAATTACCATAAAGCTGTTCGTTTTTTTGTAAGTGTTATTAAGCGTTTGGCCTAGTAGATTGCATATCAGTATGCCCTTCCGGGCTCTGAAGAAGGCGATACCGCCGAAACGTCAGCTAGCATTGTATTGTATTGTGTTTTTCTATGGAAGTAAATGTATGCTGTTTAAAAACCTCGCGATTGCTGAACAAGAAAACGACACATTCATATGTTCACACAATTTTGTTTATCTGCAGCAAGAAGGTGAACGTGGCCAGAATGTTGTTCCACGAACGCCGACGCATCTGATCGTCAACAACTACGCGAGCACAATTTTACAGTTCATGCTGTTCGTCAATGTGTCATTTATGACTCTCTATTTTAACTGATTTATCGAGCACATTCGTTCATTGTACCAATCAGTGCCATTCGCCGGCCATTTCAATTACGGCAGAATTGTTATGGTGCATAGTGCTTTTTGTTTAAATTGACCTGGTTCATATCCTTGTTCTTATGTTTTCATTTCCATTTTTCTGGTAACAAAGTGGAAAATTAGGCTTGTATGCCGAAGATTTCAATTTGTGATGTCATGTCGTCATTTCGTTACTTATCGCGTCATCACGGGTGATTGTCATAACGCATAAAGGATTTTTGAGCACGTTCGTGAATGACTTCCAACGTTTTTAATTTTAGCACTGTTAATAGCACAATGTGTTGTGAAAAAGGAATCAATATCTATCGGTCTAATTTTAATTTTTTTTAGATTTTGTGCTAAGTGGCGCAAGGTGCACTGTGTTAGAGATGCTGCATAATAATGAAAGCAAAGCCACCGGTTCGAATTCTTTGGCGCTCAAGCAAGTCTCTCGCCTTTCCAACTTCGGTAAATTGCCCCCACTATTATATTAGTGGCTCACTCTGGTGCAAGAATATACAGGCCGAGTGCGAGAGAGACGTGGAAAATTGCAAGCCAAGGTACTTCATAATTCTCCGGAGAATCTACTGATCCGGGGTTCATTGGCATCCTTAAAAAAGATCGACATCCTAGAACAGGCGATGAAGCCACAACCAATCGTGCGCCATGTGATGCCGAATTATGTAATAAATAAATAATAGTGTTGCGGTAAGCGTCGTTCTGAATAGATCAACACCATTTAGTTGCTAGTTGGTGTTGACGCAGGTCAGCAAATATGCTTCGTTGCCTAAAGCTTAGGCAAGGCTTGAAATTGTTCGGCGTCAACCAATCCCTGTGGTATGTGCCGTGCATTCGGCCTCTATCAAGGATCGCAGGGGTGTGTGGATGCACACCAATTTGTCCACCTCAGAGGAATGGAAATGAGTTATTCCTGATAAGGGTGAAATCAAAGGCAAATTGATTACGTATTACAGCACACCTTCAACTACTGCACCATACGAGCCCCATTACGCAATTGGGACCTGGATGTCTGTCTACTCGCTCGCGCGGTTAAATCGCAAAAATCTGAGTCGTTGCCTAATTTTCACACGTGTTGTCGAAATAACCACATAAAAAACCGCGCCATTTTTTTCCGTGTTTTATTGACTTGTTGTTCAACTCCCTTCAAGCGTATTTCAGTAACTTTCGCTTGTTTTCCACGTTTTGTTCATGTATCTAGAAGAGCATTCAGTATTTTTAGGATTTTTTTGGAAGCGTTTTTGTGTGAAAAAAATTGCTTGGTTATCAGTCAGTCACAAATCTTTGCTTAGATTTCTCTATGGTACTATTATAAGCTCGTCCCAAGCTATAACCATGAGTTCATATGTCGAGTAAAAGTGGAAAGGAACGAGTAGTTTCACACGAAAAACGTCGGGGAATTGTAGTAAATTTCTAGGATTATTCATGAAAGGGCTCATATGGCGCAGTGGTCCGGGACACTGTGCAATACACGTGGGATCGACCCCCGCGCCCATGGCCCGCCAAGTCCTCCATCCCTCTGGTGTCGGCAAATTGGTACGAGACTAGTTTGGGAGAATAGGTGCACTGGCTCGATACATCGGCAGGCCACCGCGAGTCATTGTAAAGACCAAATGTGCATTCAATCACCTCCAAACGATGTTTAATGATGTCAAGTGCATGAGGCATTACCCATGGTTTGATCAACAGCGATAGCTTTATACTTTATTCTTTTTACTCATGAGAATGCCTGTTCCATGATATATCGTTGCGTGTTAAAGAAGATCTGTTGTTAGAGTTAGTACGAAGCCTCTTGTACTAAAAGATTATTATCATTCTTTCCTTCCTTCCTCACCAGGCTGAAGGTTTTACTCTGTGTAAATAATATCCAGAGATCGAAGGCCTAAGTTGTACAAATTTAATGCAATCATAAATTGTTCTCTTACTAACGAAAATTTTAACGATGTTTATAAAAGCCTATCAGAATAAGAGTTTAAAGCTTGTCGTATCTCTAAAGATACACTTTGTAAAAAAACGTAATGAAAAGCTTTCTGTAGGCCGGTTTTGGAACTTTGAGTAGGAGCAACACAGACCTACACATTAAGCAGGAAAATCGCCTGAAGAGGACAAATTGCACCAAAATTTGTGATACGACGTGAAATAGTTTCCCTAGGAACCTACTGTTTGTGAATTTTTATTATGCACGTAATGATCTTTTTCGGTTTCTGCACCACAGACCGTCGACCTCTGTAGTTGATGAAAGTGTTCGAAACAAGGGAAAGCTGCTGAATTTTCATTCTGGCAGAAGTGAGGTGGTTGACAGGTTTAGCATGGGTTAG